AAACTACAAACACGATCCATTCTGTTGTTGGCCCATTTCGCTTATTACTCTACTCATCGTGGTCGTGGGGGTAAAATATATAGGAAATGGGCGGTGAAAAAACGTCACCATTTGCGTGAAAATTGCAATGTACCGGTGTGGAAAGCTTACTATACAAGGTTACGGCGGAGGAAGGTGTCTATGTATCGTAAATATATAATCTAAATTACTTGCACATTAAAATTTGTATAACTTCATCGATCCACGACACAACTTCACCGTTTGTTCTTCGGCTCTAAAATTTTAACTTTAAAACATAATTTTAAGAGTTGACTTTCATGTTTTTTATCATAGTTTATTTTACAAAATTAAATTTTTAGTCGTCAATCATTGCTACAGTTTATAATCAACCATTGACAGAACAATGATATACTCAACTTAATACATTTAAAGCTGTGTACATTTGACATTACAAAACACAATTTACTCAGACAACATTTAGATTCAAACTATACGAACAGTGACCATGAAGACTCCTGAAAACAAACGCCATGTTACGAACTTTGTATCACGACGACTCGGTTAAGCTCTAACCGCGACGGTGACTATGAAGACTCCTGAAAACAAACGCGATGTTACGAACTTCATATCACGATGACTCGATTAAGCTCTAACTGCGACCCTGAGGATGGAAAACATGGAAGTGTTGTTGTTTTCTCTATAAAACTACAAACACAATCCATTCTGTGGTTGTCCCATTTCGCTTAATTACTCTGCTCATCTTGGTCATGGGGGGTAAAACAAGAAATGGGCGGTGAAAAAACATTGCCGATTGCGTGAAAATTGCAGTGTGCCAACATGGAAACCATGCTTACTATACACGGTTACGGCGGAGAAAGGTGTGTATGTATTATACATACTAGCGGATATCGCACGCACTGCAGCGGGAAATTTAGAAATACTTCAAAGAAAAATTAAAGGAAACAATATGTAAATCGTGTATTCGTAATATCTAAATGGACAATATTTGTTCTATAGTAGTTAATGTGAAATTACAATTCTATATGACGCTTGGATGCTTATGTATCAAATATAAGAGGGATCCAATGGCTATTAGTTTTCTAGGTGTCATGGTTCAATGCGCATGGAACTTTTATTGGCTATGCTCATATTTAAATTCAGAAGTTGATTTTCTAGAATAGAGTAGGTAATCTAATAGAAAGACAACTATTTATGACTCCAATATATACTCCATTTGTTTTCCAGCACTCGTCAATTCACGCTATCCATGTTTAAATTTTAACCGTTTGTCTTTATAAAAGAAATTATAAATACAAAAAATACCATACATCAAAGTATGTTACATCCTTTTGTTCGTTGTAGTCTAGCCATCTTAAAAACTTGGATACCTGCGCCTTGCAACAAGAAATTTAGAAATACTCAAAGGAAACTTGAAGGAAACAATATATAAATCGTGTACTCGAAATATCTAAATGAACAATATTTATTCTACAGCAGTTGATGTGAAATTGCAATTCTATATGACGCTTGGATGCTTATGTATCAAATATGAGAGGGGTCTAATGGTTATTAGTTTTCTAGGTGTCATGGTTCAATGCTGGTACGACCCAAGTAGGGGTGTTGTTCCGATCTTCACAACGTAGGATCAAGAACTCAAGATAACTAGCTACAAGAAGCCAAGATAACAGTGCAACCTAACAATCATACTTGAAGCCAACCACCGTCTCTATTACGACAACCTGAATTGAGGGTTCGTCTAACCACACTCTAAGTTACCAACCAACACAACCTGGAATTAATCAAGGAAAAATCCTCAAAGGGACCAGGAGCACCAATTGGAGGGCGTCGAATGCCGCTTCTGTAATCCCACAAGGAAATCACAAGAGCAAAGGGGTAGAGATCTCTCTCCGAATTTGTGAGCACGCAGCTAAACAAAGGGGGTTCATATTCTCATTGTTAAAAGTCTTCCAAATGATAAAGCATAGGAGATATTTATACTAGGAACAACCCTCATAGATGAGAATGAAAGGTCTTGGGAGTTTACTGGACATAGGTTAGCTCAAAGGTCACAATAAGTGAATTCCCAAGAAGACTCTCGCGTTTGTTTGGCTTCTTAGCAGTCCTCAATGATTTGTCCATTACTCCTTATTGGGAAGTTGAAATGACGAACCGTTTATTGGAGGTGAAACTATAATTGATTATATTTCCAACCATATATATTAAGCATGGAGAAAGTTGACTGGATGGGTCACACATCCCTTGGAAGTTGGAGCAAATGTTTGGAGACAGTGTGCTCCAAAATCAGCATGACGTAAATGGTCGTCGTCTTTACGTAACCCATCATCATTTTGATATTCTAGCTCGTCGTCAATGCCCAGCGAGTCTTTTGCATGTGTAAACCTAAGTAATAGCAAAGTACTTGATTTAGGTAGTATATAATTCTCGTCAATATTGAAATATGTTTCAGCTAGGAGCGAGTTCACTTCTTGTTGTAGTTTCTTTGCGCGGCTACATGTTATCAGTCCTTGAAATGGTGTAACGGATTGGCTCTCATTAGCAACTTAGTCACATGATTGTCTTGTGTGTTCATGTGACGGGGGCTAGGGCATATCAAATGCACATGGAGCTTTATAGCTATAACTACACTTAGTGTGTTGTAAATGCATATGACAAATGGATGGTCAAGATCAAAGCATGAAAGGGATCCAAATGCTACTATTTTCTAGTTCTAGATGATGTTGCTCAATACATATCAAGCTTTTGGTTCCAACTATATAGGTATATAGATATAATCCAAATTTAGTTGCATGTTACAATTACGTAGAGAAATCCCATTTTATAATAGATATTATCATTTCATCTTATCTTATGTATAACTTTATCGTTTGACTATACAACTTCACTATTTATTCTTCAGCTTATAAGTCATAACTAAAATTTTAATTTTAAAACTTAATTTTGAGAGTTGATTTTAAATTTTTATCATAGTTTATTTTACAATATTAAATTTTAAGTCGTCAATCAGTGCTACGACTTGTAGGAATCAACTGTTGACAGAACGATGAGATACTCAACTTAATGTATTTGAAGTGGTGTACATTTGACATTACAAAACACATTTACTTGGACAAATTTTAGATTCAAACTATACGGTGACCATGAAAACTCCTGAAAACAAGCGTTGCAAAGTTCGTATCACGACAACTCGCTAAAACACGGAAGTGCCGCTGCTTTCTCTGCGAAACTACAAACACGACCCATTCTGTGGCTAGCCCATTTTGCTTAATTACTCTGCTCATCAAGGTCTGGAGGTAAAACAAGAAATGGACGGTGAAAAAATGTTGCCGGTTACGTGAAAATTGTATAGTGTGCCAGTGTGGAAACCGTGCTTACTATACATGGTTACGACGGAGGAAGGTGTGTACTTAATCCGTCCCAAAATGTTGCTACTTAGGATGGGAATGGATGTAGTATTATAAATAGGGACTATATAGGTATCATTTGACAAGAAAATCCCCCGTAGACATCTTGTATATTTTAGACCATCCGATTGTTTAAAGATTCATGAAGGATAATCAAACCCTAAAACCCCTTCCATCTTCCTCCCCCCGACACCCCCTCTTGCAACCTCCACTCAACAGTGCCCGATCTGCACCGCCTCCGCCACTGCCGCCCCAGCACGCCACTTGGCTCACCAGCTAGTCAGAAGGGGTCAACGGCACTAGTGAGGCCTCCTAGTAGTACTATTGTTTTATCTTATTATATAATTGTATGGATCAATTATACAGCTCTATCATTCACTTCTTAGCTTATGAGTTTCAGGCAAAATTTTAATTATAGAACTTAATTTTAGAGTTTCTTTTGATGCTTTGTTTTGTCGTAGTTTATTTTTCAGCATTAGATCTAAGTCACTAAAAATACATATATAAAAATTACTCATAAATTAGGTTTTGATTGTTAACAAGTGTTAAAGCTTATAATTAGTTCTGGACGAAACAATGAGATAAATATATATACTCATTTTTATTTTTATTTTTATTTTTGCGATTCAAAATTACGTACATTTGATATTAAACAAACTCAATTTACTTGGACAACTTAAGTTTTAGATTCAGACGATAAGGCAACCATGAAGACTTATGAAATCAAACGTTACGATGTTTGTATCACGATGGCTCGGTCAAGCTCTGACCGCGAGGATGGAAAACACGGAGGAGGAGCTGCTGCTGCTTTCTCTATGAAACACGACCCGTTCTGTGGTTGGCTCATTTCGCTTAATTAATTGCCGTTCTGAGAGTTGCAGCGTTTTTCTTGTGCTACAACTTTTGATATATATTATATAATAGTAGCTGAGCAATCTGCATGCTTCGGCAAACCAACCTACTGCAGCCAGTTTACATGAAATTCACGTGCAAATAGCATGAAGGATGCTGGAAAGTTCATGCATACGCAAAATTTTTCACCTTGCGAGGCAGAAAAAAAAACTAATTACACAGATTGCATGTAAAATTGCGAGACGAAACTTTTAAGGCTAATTGCTCCATGATCGACAATGTGATGCTACAGTAAACATTTGCTAATGATATATTAATTAGGTTTAATAAATTCATCTCATAGTTTACAAGCGAAATTTGTAATTTATTTTGTTATTAGTCTATGTTTAATATTTCAAATGGGTATCCGTATATCCGATGTGACACACCAAAACTTTTCACCTATGGATAAACACAGCCTACATACCAAGGGTTCAGAGACATTCTGGTAATCACGAATTCTGTTCTGCAAGTGTGTAACGTTGCAGCTGCAATCCAATTCAATTCCGGTTCACATATGTTGTACTTATCCAACCTATTGTTTCGTTCATTCATATACCTATCCGAACCGCTTATTAACAAATAAAAGATTATTTATGAATAAAACTTTTATATACATATATTTTTAGCAACTTCAAAGAAAATCCTATAAAATAAACTACGATAAAAAAAAAGAAAAGATCAAAATTCAGTAGAAAATTTAAATTTAACTTATAAGTATAAGCGTAAGCGAAAAAATTAGTCGACGAATCATTAATCACATCAGGGGCACGAAGAGATATCAGTTGATGCATCAAATCAACCCGCCCCTTGCCATGGTCCATGCAAGATCAGATAATAAATATACAAATGGCAGAAACAAAATCCTTCTGAGGAAGTCGAGTTCTTGAACTCTACCGTCCTGGATAACTAGCCGTCCAGATTTACAAACGAGCTCACACAGATGCAACTAAGATTTCAACACACTGTGCAGCTTGCAATGTACATGGTTGTTACTGAGGGGGTGTTTGGATCCCTGCCACACATTGCCTCGCCAAACATGCGGCTGCCACGACAGTTTGACTGATGTTTGGTTAATACGTGAGTTGTGGCAGCCACACTTTTTGCTAGTTCATTTGCATGCTTATTTCCGCCACAGCTGTGGCGATTATTTCTCTCGCCACAATCTCTGGCGACGCCACAACTTGATGGCTGGTTTGGGCTGTGAACCAAAAATCAACACGACGGGAGAAAATGCTGCAGCTACATGAGCCATCTTATATTACACCTTTGCTTTGCTGAGTGGGCGTCGAGTAGCAGAAATTACAACAGATTGGCAGCAGCACTCTCATTTTCTCCTGCTGGTTACCGAACCTCCTGACGCCTTCAACCGGGCATGCCGCCCCTCAAGCCTTGCTTGAAGCAGTTTTGCCTTCAGGGTGTTCTCCTTCATGCCTACTAGAAGCCCTGTTGAGCATTCACCTATGTCATGGCCCAATGATGCGGACGGATAATCAAGCTGTCGCGATGGACTGTGTGGATTGCATAAATCCCCCGAAGTAGTTCCATCACAAAATAGACTAGCTCGCGAGTAATGATCAAGGGATTCCTGCCCCAGACAGTCGGCATGAGCCCCCAGGTTGTTCTTCGATGTTGTGCCATTGTGATATCCTTGAGAAATATGGGGGCAAGGGATCTCATTCTGCTCGTCTGCTGGAACAGTTCTAGCGCTGGCCTGTGAGTCGATTTCTTGAGTTCTAGTGGCATGCCATGGTCTGCTGCTACTGGACCTTGCTTTGTTACACTGTGAATAAATTTGCACGTCAGACATATGTGAACTCTCACCAACTACACTATGCGAGTATTCTGTTCTTCTCTTAGGTGCATCCATGTTGCCTGTGTAGCTTCTGCGAGGCCCTGTATGGTCATGCATCTGAATGCTACTTCCATGCATGTTGAGCTCAAAGCAATGCAAATCACTAGCAACAGAATCATCATCATCATCTTCAGCTAGCTGGGGAGCACTAGTGGCTCCATTAAAATGGACAGACTCAAGAGATTGCCGACGTAACCGAGCATTTGGCCTACTATCATGCATGTAGTTGTCATTATTCTTAAAGCTAACCGATCTTTTGGCAAGAAGAAAAGCCTCGATTTCACTTCTTAGCCTCTCTGTAATTGTTGATTTCTTCAGTGAGTCTTCCTTGACATCAGTATTTTGCATTTGCATTCTCTCATCAAGCCATGCTTCTGATACATGAAGCACTGATTTATCAAACTGGTATTCGTAATTTACATGCCTTTGTTTCAATGCCCTGACTTCCTCTTCATAGTCTCGGATTCCCATTGCGAATTGGTCACAAAGGTCCTCTAACAGGTTCTTTGTTTTCTTCTCTTTCTCAAGGTCCTTAACTGCCTTGACAAATGCTGATTTTATCTCAGATAACTCCTTGCCAAACTTCCTGTGGAGGTCTTCAGAATGTCTCCTAAGGCGTCTCTCATCCTCCAGTTCATCTTGCAGGGAATGAATGTCTGCTGCAATCTTCTCTTTGTCTTTATTTTTCCGGACAAGTTTGTCCTCAGAGAGTTGCCTCACCAGTGAAGCAACATCATGGCGATATCCTCTTCTCTCACACTTAAGTTCTTGAATGTGTTCCTGTGCATGCTGTAATTCCAATTTTAGTCCATTAATCGCTGACATATCAGCTGTATGTTGTTCTTCCAGGCTCCAGATTCGATTTAGAACCTTCAAGAGTTCTGTTGATGTCTTAAGGTTATAATCAGCCCCCCTGAATCTACCCTTGATATCCAAAGAGCGAGCTGGACTGATCGCTTGATTTATACTGGAATCCTGTAAAATACAAGAAAAAAGAAACATTCTTTTGAGAATGTGCTTGTTGTGCTGGTTGTTACATCTGGGAAACATATTTAGTTGCATCAAGAAATATAGAGAAGTTTCAAGTTATCTACAATAGACAGCAGGCAAAATACTATGGGACTGACTTCATTGTTCTTTCTTTTTCCTAGCAAATAAATTCATACTTCTGTTTATCTAAATAAAGAATGAGCAGACAAAACGATGCACAAATGTATTATTTAATTACTATCAATCATTCATGATTATTTTTAGTCGAGAAGCATTAGCTAGACTGCTAGGCTACTCAATGACTTGTCTTGATAAAGCATACTGTTACACTCCCAAAACTTCTCCATCAGACACAAACATGTGTAATGAAAAACGCAACAGAATCACAAGATAGAAAATCTTACCCCTACTAACACACATTACCATATAGTACCATAAGATTTTGTTATATGCCCACAAACCAAAATATTAAAGCAGCCAAGAGGATCACAGCAGATAAGAATATGGATCACAGCAGATAAGAATATATACAAACATACCCCAACTGAGCTTCTGTAACTTCCAGGAGAAAAAGGTTGTGCTGTACAATTCCTTGCTTGATTTAACTTCTGATGATTCGTTGATGAATCTGCAATATGCCTACCAAAGCCACCTGAATTCTGAGGTTGAATGTAACGAAAAAATATTTAGCATAGAACAAATACAAAATAAAATAATCGTGTTACTATATATGGTGCAATAATTATATTCAGCAATCAAGACTATGGGAAATGGTAAAACACCTTTTGTGCATTTGCTAGATAAATCTCTTCAAAGTTTAAATATGTCTGATATATTGTTAACAGCTGTATGCTTGAATATTACATCTCAACACCACATATGAGGTCAAAAGTTAATATACAGAACATGTGTGCAAACATTGTAGAAAGGAGAACATGCACACAGACAGAGCTAACATCATGTAAAGGCAGCTTAACGTAAATGATGCCTAATGTGGATTACACGAGTTGTAAATAGCTCACATTCCATGACATGCCAAACACACTCCCTAGGAACATTCCGCAAACTGAAGAACTAGCATGTTGGTCAGTTAGTACATTGCAAAGCAAAAGGATTCACCTTTTTTCCAATTCCAAGGAACAAAGTGTAAAACCCTGATGTATTCTTCAAAGCACAAAAGATGAGTACTGAGACAACATTACAAGTCAGAAGATTGGTTGCAAAGTTAGCAGTTCGAAACCTTCAAGAAAGGTTGTGTTTACTTTTAATAAAAACTTGTAACCCCGTCCAATCAATAAGCAACAATTTTTACTCAACTCTCAAGCACTGACAGTGCAAATTGTACTGATAGAATAACAGATAGAACAGATCCATAGTTCATACTAGCCAGCAAGCAAATGCTGGATTGAGAGTTGAGAACAGTAGCGGCATTAATAAAATCAATTTAGTGAAGACGACCAAGCTCTACTATCAAAAAAAAATGCCCACTACTAATGGAAGAAACAGTCGAAACAAACAAAAAGCAGAACATCACACCAGGAAACAGGCAAAAACATGGAAAGACAGTAAATCGAGCGCTGCAAATGTCTTGGTTTTGGGCTACATTTCATCAGTGCTAGTGCATCCATTTGCTATGTTTAAGTAAATAAATCATCTACTACTAGCAGTAATCAGTCTCCTTCCTCTTGTTGCTGCGGGCCAACGAATTACAATTCAGTTGATGTTACTTTTGCCACATGAGGAGGAGGTTTTGGGCTAGTTCGAAGGAAGACACCTATTAATTAACCCCTCACCTGATGCAGCTCGCCGCCGGCGGAGGCGAGCGGCCTCCCGCTCCTGCGCCTCCGCGACCCGCCGCCGCGCCCCTCCCGCATGACGTCGTGGATCTCCCACAGGCTGGCTCCCAGCTGCCGCGCCGAGGCGGAAGCCGACGCGGAGCTCCGCCTGGCGGGCGCCACCGCCGGGTGCACCGGAGCCAGTTCCCCCGCCGCCACCTCCACCTCCTCCCCCTCCAGCTTCCACGACGGCGACGGCGTGCAGGGCCCAGCCCGCCTCCTCGCGGCCCTCCCGAGCCGCACCCGCAGCGGCACCTCCTCCTCCCCGCGGCAGTCACCCTCACCCCGACGAGCAGCTACCGCCGCGGCGGCGGAGGTGGAGGCACCCTCCTGCCCCGCGACCTTGCCAAGAACCGGGCCCGCTGCTCCTGCTCCTGCTCCCGACGCTGCTGATGATGATGGCTGGGCAGCAGCGGGTTGTTCCATGGCTATGGCGGCACGCTGCGCGAGGGGGGGGCGCTAGGGGCGCGTGAGACAGGGGAATCCCATGGCAATGGTGGTGGTGGCGAGGAAGGGGAGGAGGTTGGGAATGGTGGGGGAGCTAGGGCCTAGGGGGGGTTTGAGGTGAGGTGGAGAAGAAGGGGGGAGGGAAAGGTGTCTGCGGCGTGGGCAGCAGGGTGTACTGTACCCCTTTTGTTTCGTTTTGTTTCCCGGTTTGTTGAGTTTGGAACTTTTTTTGGATTGGGGAAGAAAGCCATGCCATATGTCTCTCTTCCCATCCAAACTCGTTTCCAAATCTTATTTGCCGTGATTTTAGCGTACAGCCGTTTCATCGACGAGCTAGTGTAAAGCATTCAAGTTTCGTCATTTCAACGAATTGAACAACCCACTAGTAGTATTACATCTGTCCCAAAAAATTTTCGTTTTTCACACATCCCACACGTCCCAATAAAAAAAACACTCATACCTTATCGAATCACAATATAATTATTTCTCACTTTATCTTTGTCCAACACAATTTCTTCTACTTTCACAAACTCTAATGCAATGATTACTTTAAAAATAAACTTATTCTAGAACAAATATATTGCAGACAATATTTATTAAACGCCTATAAAGTCACCGTGAATAACTTTTTACTCCCAAATTCATATTCAACTATATGAGTATAAAAGTTTTACTCTGATGACGGAGATAAATATCATATGACCATTTTTTAACCTAGATATTTTTAAAGACTTCACTACATATTTAAAATGTTAGGCTGTGTTCGGGAGGTGATGTTGAGAACTCATCTCCTGTGCAAGTAAAATGGAGCAATGCATTTTCTTATGATTAATTAAGTACTTATTATTTTTTAAAAAATAGATTAATATGATTTTTCTAAAGCAACTAACATATAGAAACTTTTTTAAAAAAACACACCATTTAGCAGTTTGAAAAGCGTGTTCACAGAAAACAAAAGAGGTGAGTTGCGAAAGTTGGGGAAAGAACTCAGTCTTAGTGGTGGTGGTATCCAATATGCCGCACCACCCCTACCACTAATATTTAGGCAAAATTGGTTATATAGTATCAAAAGTTCACATTTTTTTGTTTTATAGCACCGAAAGATACCGGTTCACTTTAATATTACCCAAAATTCACCACATTCCCATTTTTAACACTTCCGTTAATTCTCGATCTTTTCCGTACACCTTGATCGCTATTTACCCAGCCACGCACATAATATGACGTTTCTACCCCTCATTATCATGCATCCTACTTGTACTTGTGAGGGGTAGAAACATCATATAGTGTACGTGGCTGGGTCAATAGCGATTAAGGCGGACGAAAAATAACCGAGAATTGACGGAAGTGTTAAAAATGGGAACAAGGTGAACTTTGGGTGCTATTAAAGTGTTAAAATAGGAACGGGGTGAATGTTGAATTCTCTTATATGATCAATTTGGGAATGAGGGAGTATTGTTCTAGCATAAATTTTGGCCTCGGCCCTCTTTACAACTAGAGGATGCCCCGCGCATTGCTGCGGGACTTGGTTAACATCAATTTGTTAGATTGGAGGTACAATCTCAAGAAGAAACGGAAGAAACAAATAGCTTTCTTGGAGAAATTCTTTTCAACAGCCCTATCCAAAATTTGTAAATAATTTAGGTAGCACATGTCAACTAAAGAGGCGTTCAGCCATAAAGCTCTTTTATACAGATTGACGGGCTGAATACATATAGATGTGTGTGGAGATGGACCAATGTGTTCATGTGGGCCGCATTTGGCATGAGGAGGCAAAGAGACTCACTGTGGAGATGCATGGGCCAATGTGTTCATGTGGGTTGCATTTGGCACTGAGGAGGCGAAGAGACTCACCTAGTGACTGATGGGTTAGGCTCTATGCTGTATTTCATCCAACGTCTGAGAAGCGATCTAATGCATTCATCCAATGGTTCACAATTTGATGATGACGTGGAAGCATGAGGTTTGAGTTTTTGGCCTTAACTTTATGGAAAGAAGGGATTTCGGAAAGGGGCACGGAATTTTCCCGACCAACCCTGAATAAGGGATACGACACCAGATGGAAACGCGCATGTAATCATTTGGATGAAACAAATCATGAACTTTTTTTAATGATCAACAAGATGATTCATTGAATAGAGTAGAAAAAAAATTACAAAGCTAATGCCTTGAAATGCAATAGCCAGGAAAGAAAAAAATTTTCCACACACCGACAACATCTACATATAGCCAAACACAAACAGAAGGCTAGTACCGGACTAGTACCGGACCAGCCATCGTTAAACATGACCGATCACCGCTAGATCATCAAGGAAGCTATAGCCGAGACCGTTCAAAGCCAAGCCTTATCAGTTGAGCACCGGGCGTAACTCTAGCCACGTCTTTTGGATTGAGGGAGAGAGGGCAAGGGAGAAATCAAGAATTCTTTTTTTTTATTTACGGGGAGAGAAATCAAGAATTAAATAGCATGCCACCAGAGAAGGCATGTAATTAATCGTTTGTACGTGCGTATTCACGATACTATCACCCTCTGGGCAGTGTGACCCTCGACAAAGCGATCCTCGCAATCAAAAACGGATCGTGCAATGCCAGTGCCTGCGCAAAGACTTTGGCCCCGTTCTTTTCTACGACAAGAATTGAATGAAGATTAAAATTTTCGTGGCACGTTTTTCAAACTACTAAATGTTGCGTTTCGTGCGAAAACTTTATATGAAAGTTACTCTAAAATATCATATTAATCTACTTTTTAAGTTTGTAATAATTAAAACTCAATTAATCATACGTTAATACCACATCGTTTTGAGTAAAAAAACTTAATCTTCATTTTCAAGAAAAAAGAACACCACCTTTGTCGTGCATTACCGATGCATATGAGACATTTAACTCCATGCCACTTTTAAGATGTGGTAATTAATTATTTACCACCCGCTGTCTATTACACGTGGGCCTCTTTACAATGCGTGAGCGGTACACGGCAACGACAATTGTATTGTATCTCCATCCAACGGCTATAATCTATCCGTGGACCGCGCGTGGCCACGTATGCCGTAACGGCACGGTAGCAGGAGTAGGAGCATCCAACGGCTACTTTCAGTCCCAGCTACAGCCTACCGTGTACAGTAAAAGCACGCTGAGTTCTGCATGGAAAGGTTCCACCTTTCGGAACGACGAAGAATTTTTTTATGGGAATTAAAAATAATTAATAAAAATCATGTAAAATGCCTGCATTTCAAAGGAATATGTAGAAATGGTTAAGGGGCCATAATTAGGACATGCAAGTCATTTTCCATTGTCATATCTGGTGTCTAGGTCCCTATGGCACACGAAGAAATTGTTTAGAAGAGTTTCCAGTAGCTGCAGGCTACAACTTCTCTTACAATTATCCAGTTTTTCTTTTAAGCTAAGAAGATAGGCCATGCATATGCCTGAGCACCTTGTTTAATATTGCTTTAATTTTCATTATTAATGTTCATGTTACGATGGTATTCTTGAAATATTCTGACTTCATTTGAAACATGTTTTGGTTTTGGATATTGGTTATAATTTTCTTCTAATTACCCTTGTGTTAACAACCAAATTTAGTAATTCAAGTATCGGAGGTGAAGGTAAAACCGAAGCGGAATCCAAGAAGGAGATCGTTCCGAAAACAGAGCAAGAATCGGCTAAAGTCCGAATCGGCCGCGATCAGGATCGGCAGAGTGCGAGTCGGACAAGGTTAGCCGATTCCGACAATATGACTTGTTACACGACATCGGGTTAAGTTAAAGTGCTTCATATGGATTGCCATGCATGGATTGAGTCCTGAAAAGGCAATTGTATCTATTAATTAGGATATTTTATGTAATTTCCTTAAAGATAAGTTTGGACAAAAGTCTGCCGCAAAGACTTATGGTATCTTAGAGTTTGTTAGAGATAAGAGTCGTGTCCAACATGGACATATTTTGTAATCTCGAGTATAAATAGACCCCGAGCCCCATGTAATCAATCTAACACACGTTCAATACAATCTCGGCGCATCGCCACCCTTTACTTTCGTTTTGTTTCAACGAGTTCTTGCTTTCGAGTTGAGCTGCATCGGTTTCGATCTTCAACTAGAGGTAAAACTTGTTATGGCGGCTTGCGTTCTCGGGATTAGTGCTTCCATCTTTATGATACTCTAATATTGTTTATGTAATTCGTCAAGTTATCATATATTTTATATAATCTCCGGCAATATTGTTATTTAACCCTCAGTCGGCTAACATCTATTGTGGGAAGGCAGCCGATTAGGTTAAATACCAACATTGACTTAGATTATATAGGATATCCACCACTCTATGAAACATCCAACTGCTTGATTGTCTAGATATTGTTCTTCTTTTCATACTTAATGTTGCATCAGTTAAGTTTGATCTATTAAGTCGTGCTTAGAATCTCAATCTCTAGCCTGCTTTTGGTTGCTGATTAAGGTAGTGTCGGGGTTTCAGCCGATCATACCTGATTTAGCTTTATATCTTACATGCTTAATTGATATGCTAGATCTGCCCTTTATGTTAAGATCTTACTACAACAAAGTATATTAGGCTTCTGTTTGATATATTTTACTTGCTTTAATATCTTAATATAGAGTGGTATCGGAGTATTAACCGATACATGCTAGATCTATCTGATCGGCTATGCTATAAATATTTATAATCTTCTTGTTAATATATATTTCGATCTAAGTGATTTATACTGTCTCGGCATGGCGACCGATCTATCCCAATCACTTGATTTAAGTATATATCGATAAAAGTATTATATACCATTGATATCTACAGCCGATCGAATAGATTTAGTTTGATCGATTCATATATGACATCGGCTCAAAGATAAATGATACGTCATTGGCAGCTAGCTGATCGGCTATCGTTTATGGATTTAACTGCTATTTTTCTGTCTTTATTTCTTGTTGATTGCAGGATTAAATCGACTAGTACGCTCACGAACCTAAAAGCAAGATTTTTTGGACCTGCACTGAAGTTAAGCAGATCTTCCAGGCCTCATGTTTTTCGCATCAACACCTTGTAACATATAAATTCTATCCTAAAATTACTTGAAATCATACAACCTTAAATTTATGATAATGGAGTTGATTCATATATACTTGTACTATGTGTGATTCTTTTTTGGAATATAAGTTTCCAAACTGTTAGTAACATTTTTTTCTTATATGCTATAGATGACTTAATGAATTTTATGATATATCAATGAAAGATATTTTCCATTAAAATGTAGCTAATAGACTACTTCATCTAATAAAGATAAACTTATATTACTTATACTCCCTCCGTCACATAAATTCGAGGAGTCAAATTTTATCCCAAAACAATAGGGGGATTTATATGTAACCATGACAAAATCATTTTTATAAATACTACCACGATAATGTCCAAAGTACTATATTATTATTTATATTTTCAAAAATATCTATAGTTTAATGTCTGGTTTAATACATATTGTTCAAAATGACATGAGATACGAATGCATTTTTTTTCAAACTTATTCACAATAACTAATTCATGTTAGTATACTTATAGCCCATGTCAGTGTGGCATATGACAATACCTCTATCAATTATGCCTAACATGTTAGAATTTTCCAACTATAAGAAAACATATCATGAGTAGTTTATTACGCATGTTACTTGATTGTTCGTTTGTTGTTAAAACTATTCAGCAAAGGAAAAAAACATACAATTATATATTTGTCATGCATATTTCATGTTTCAATTGTACGGAGTACTTTTTTCTTTCATGACCAACAGTTATATATTTGTCATGTATAACGAATAGTACATGAGAAAGATATTACTTTTTTTTAATAATAGATCTAATCTAATGGTCTAAAATATTGGTAATTTAAGTGAAAATCGACGGTAAGATTAGATATTACTCCCTCCGTCCCAATATATTGCAACCTAGGATGAGATTAGACCCATCCTAGAACTATGAAACAGTTTCATAGTGGGACGGAGGGAGTACCATATAGTGGCCTATGAGCGGTTGTAGAGTGTCACATGTCAATTTAAGAGCGTCTATAATAAGCTTAATGGATTTTTAGTATATAATAAATAGATTTTAAGAAATTGAAATTGCAGAATCCTAAAAATAAAGAAGGTGATTTTCCTAACTTTTCGATATTCTCGTCAGCTGAATTCTTACCGGCTGCATTTAGAATCTGAAGCAAACCTGATGAGAGACTGTAATTCCACCAACTAATATTCAGTCAAAGTCAAAAAGTGCCTTGTGAGATGCAGTACGACTTCATTTAACTTAATTAATCCTAGATTGCACTTTAAGCCTCCTAGCTATAGTAGCTGCACATGGCACCGTGGATCATCACTTATTACTACAAGGGTTTCTTTTGTGGGAATAAGAGCAAGTTTAATAGTATAGCTAAATATTAGCTCCGAATTATCAATAGCTAATCTAATAGCCATTCATATAATAGCCCATTTATATAATAGTTATCTATAAAAATATACTATACCGTTAATACCCGGACCTACCTCTCATCCACACACGACGTGTTGAAGTCCGTGTTGCAGCTGGCTATAAATATGTAGCCTGCTTTCTTTTCTCTTCCCTTTTCTTCTCGATATGTGGTTATAGCTGGCTTATAGCCTGCTATTGTACTTGCTCTAAGCGAAAACAAGGTAGAGGTAGTTGAGATCACCTTCTAGGAGGTCATGAACTAAGTAAGGATAAGTGTTATGGTAGATGTGACTACCACCTCTAAATTTATCTATATCATTCACTATTAAATTAAGAGGCAATTCATACAATATGTTACATATAGTACACAAACACCAATATCTCTAATACTCTCACACCAGTCTTGAATTTTGTGTGGAGGTTGCCTCTTGATTTAGAGCAAGTTTAATACTACAGCTCGCTACTAGCTCCAAATCATTTATACCAATGTAATAGCCAATTCATACAATAGTTGTTTACTACGCTATTAATACTTGGTCCCACCTGTCATACACACATTACGTCTTGGAGTCCGTGCTGCAGCTGGCTACAGATCTGTAGCCCGCTTCTCTTCTCTCTCTTCCTTTATCTCTTTAAAATATGTTTATAGCTGGCTTATAGCCTACTATTGTACTTGCTCTTAGGGGTGGCTCATCATCTCTCTCCTCACTTCTCTCCTCCATCTCATCACTCAATCCAATGTGGTACTTTTAGGGGCAAAATATGTAGCATTATAGGCCCTGTTTGGATCCAGGTGCTAAATTTTAGTCCCTGTTACATTGGATGTTGAGACACTACATAGAAGTATTAAACGTAGACTAATGACAAAACCCATTTGATAACCCTTGACTAATTCGCGAGACGCATCTATTGAGTCTAATTAATCCATGATTACTTATGTGATGCTACAGTAAACATGTGCTAATTATGGATTACTTAGGCTTAAAAAATTTGTTTCTCGAATTAGCTTTCATTTATGTAATTAGTTTTGTAATTAGTCTGTGCTTAATACTCCAAATTAGTGTCCAAACATTCTATGTGACAGGGGTTAAAGTTTAGTCGCTAAATCCAAACACCACCGTAGTGCTTGCCCTAAGCAGCTAGAAACCGATTCTACCCATGACATAAATAAAACCTTTTGCATGTTCAGCCTTTGCTTAATTGTGACGTGCATGCTAGCTAGTGGCATAGAACACTGGTACTACCTCTCTAAAAGAAAAAAAAATAATGCGTGCAGCGAGTTCTTAACTCATCGATATAAAGCTTTAACTATTAATTTTTTAAAACAATATATTAGTATATATCAAGAACTACGAACCAACTTTATGTAAAAAGCATTTTCAAATATGAGTCTAACAGTATCACAAGGCACTTCATGTAAATCAGAATATCTTTTTTTCATGTAGTATCATGTTTCGAAAGGTTGGGCCATAAGGCCTCCTCTAACAAGGGTGAGTCAGCTAGCTCATAAATCTCCACATCAGCTTTTATATGATGTGGAAGAGAAAAAAGATAAGGAGAGAGAATGCATTATCTCTTCTTCAAGAGCTAAGCTCCTAAAGAAAATGTGAGAGGAATTGTGGAACCCAAAATATTATAAACAATATGCTATGAGACAATCTTAGAGAGGTAGACTTTTTTTCTATCTTTTGTATGAGGTGGACAAGCATAGAAGGAGGCCTAAGCTCTTGCCCAGCCCAGTTCCAAGGAAAACAAATACTGCACTGAGCCCAAACAAAGCCCTATCCAGCTCAGTTACTCCTCTCGTGAAAAAAAAAATCAGAGAGAAAAAAAGGAAACCACCGGAGGCGGACATCTCGCGCCGCCGCGCCGCCGTCGGCATGGCCGTCTCCGCCCTTCTCCCGCCTATTGCGGCTGCGCCGCCTCTCGCCGGAAGCACACGTACGTGAGTCTCCTCCTCCCACTGCATCCTCTCGCTCGTTCGAACTGTCTAAGCTGCGTGGTGCACTGCGTCACAGCGTGTGGCGCCGAATGCAGCCGCCATGGGCTAGGGCTTGTGGTATAGCTGAGGCGCTAGTCGCGGCCGCGACCGCCGCGTAGGGTCCGGCGAGATATGGGGCAGCACGGGGAGGCGGCGCAGCAAAGGGAGGCGGGAGGTGGCTAGACACAGCAGCAGGCCAATCCACAAAGCAGCTGTGCATTCTTCTGATTTCTGTTCTTCTGATTTCTGAACAAGTAGAGATTAAACTCGATCCATCCATCCATTCGGCGAGCCAGCCAACGCATTCATATGTATGATGACTTGGTCTTCGATCTAGTGATATCCATCTTGTCTAATTAGCTATCGAACTACTCCATATTTAACCAACTGACAATGGAATTAGCATGTGCAAGATGATGGGAAGAACAATTCAGTGAGCTACTGTAATTGTTATCTAATCTACCGGACTACCCCTGTATACTCGTCTTTGAGCTTATTGGCCAATTGTGTTTAGCAGTATGCACACACATGCACGTTGCTGATTAATTTGGTTTATAAGTTTAGTTTGTGAAGCAACACTAATAATCCGTCAGCTGCAATAGATGCCTGTAAACATTAATTGGGACGTTGCTGACCTGCTTATATATATGTATGTAATCTGGCTAGTTCGATGTAGGAAATTGTAGTTGATGATCTCTCTAGTGCCATATAATTTCATTGTGTTAAAACAACTTTGTGTGTTCTTTCATCATTACGCCTCATCTTTTTTGTCCTCCGCCCTCTCTGTTTGTGTTATTGAAGTTTCCTGCATTCCTTACATCAACTGACTGGAGTTCTCGCCCCTCTTTATTTTTCTTGGTTTTTCATTTATAGTTTCCTTCGGTGTTCCCTACCAGAACAAGAGAAGGATCCTAACGATGCGAGTCTACTGCGCTGCTGATGAAGGTTAGTCTAATGGTAACTGTAGATTGGCAAGTTGTAGAAGCGGTCAAATGTTTTATTTTAGGGGCAAATGCAAATTTGCCACTACTTTAAATCGTTATTGCAAAACTGCCACTAGAAAATTGCAAAAATGCCACTAGAACTGTCATTCGAGTGGCATCCTTGCAATATTGAAAAAACCGGTGGCATTGCAAATGCCCTATTTTACAGTTTTTTATTCTGGAGTGAAATTTCTTGTACCCAGGCTCAGATCTTGAGGTGGTTATAAACTTTTGATGTATCTTACACTAGGGACTACTATTTCAACTCTTTTCTTCTTTTTTTTTTTAAAAAAATAAGTAGAAGTATTTATGTCCTTTCTAGGCTAAGCATTGCACACCACATTTACTTTCAAGGTACAAGAGTGTGTGTAAGTTTTGAACTTTCACACACTGCGAATGGCTGTGCATAATGTCTACAAAATGTGCTGCATAAGTTCATAATGAGTCATCACAGAACTCAGTTTAGGAAAATGTACATAGCCTGCTATGGAATATTATGGCACAAATTTCCCAATCCATGCATCTCGTACGTAAGTAAAGGACTAAGTCTAAGCAATTCATTATGGGATTAGGAGATTGCAGATTGGGCTTTATTTTAATGGAAGACAAACTTGTGTTTTTTTTCTGAGTAAAACTATAGAACTGATCGATACGAGTGCATTTTGTGTTTTTGTGATTTTAAGAAGAGGAAGTCAATGACTTGGGAGTCAACGTGGCACTATCCATGCTAAAATTTTACAAAAGTGAGTTCATTCTTGCTGTTTTCATCTTAAACCCTTGTATTTATGTGCAGCAATCATTGGCCTTGCGCCCTTGCCTTTTGATATCAACTATATCTCTATAGCTTGCTCTCCTTTATGTGAACAGGAGAAATATCACCCTTACTACCCTCAAGCTGCCGTTATGTGCCAACTTGCAGTGAGTACTCTATGCAAGCATACAAAAAATACGGTGTTGCAAAGGGTACAATCTTGACAGCTTGGCGTCTATGCCGCTGTAATCCTCTTGGTATGTAGGTTTTTTCGTTGGTTCATAGTTCTTTTGATTTCTTCGACAGTCGCAGTCTGCACCTGCATCATATCATATTTATTAAATTTCTTTTACAATAAACAAACAGGTGGTCATGGATATGATCCCCCAAGGTGGTTTGATGAGGAAGAGCTACCAAAGCAATGACAGCCTGGTAATTACTAGAGAACGTGTATGCATGCCCTATGGTCATTTTGCATACAATTAAGTGTGATATGAGACAATGTAGTTCCAGGATCTTTTAATCGCAAGCAAACATGCACAAATTTCTTTAAACGCGAATTAGTTGCTATTATGGATTGGGTGGCCATCCTTTACTCCACTTAATTAAAACGAAATTTTTCAAAAGATAGATAGTACATAATTGAGTGTGTTATTAAAGTGACACCAAACTTCAAACGGACAAATTTTATGTAATTAATTGTTCATGAAAACCTATAAACATTATTCAGCTGGTCAATAACAAAAGCATTCGATGTGCCATACTAATTAAAAATATGACCACAAAGGTTAATAGCATAATCACAAACAGTTTATAAATAATTACACACTTGTTAACATAGTTGTTCTCTAATTGAATGACCAAACCCCAAACTTGAAATGAGTAAACTAATTGATCATAGAAACTTATATACATAACAGGGTTTATTAAGAAGGAAGTATAGCTATTAACTGCTGCTAGACTGCTAGCAAAATCTATTTTTGGAAGACATCCATCTAGCATTGTTGCCCCTCATCTCAGGGAAGAGTGTTGGCTTTTATCTGTTGTCTCCCAGAGGAAAAGCAGAACCAAATAGGTTCCTTCTTGTGGGTGGTCTGGTCAGCTAGAAACGAGGCCAATGCAGGGGACCATGCGAAAATCAGTGAGGAAATTTGCTGTATATGACCAGCTGCAAGACCATGTAACAAAGCTAAGAGCTTGCCTGATGTTGCTAAATTTAAGATGTACAACAGATGCAAGCTTTTGGTAGTTGTCTTGGGCTATCTTCTGAAGGCTTTCGATGTGAAAGATCCTCTGAAAGACAATTGAACATTAAGTTTCAATGCAAATATAAGAATCAATAACAGGGAAGCATTTCTTACCATTTTTGTGCTTCTTACAGGTGAAAAAGTTGGACTTGTATGCAGCTCTGAAGAATATAACATGCATCTTTGCCAACTATCCACCAAGGACAACTGCAGTTGTAAAATTTTCAGCCAACTTCCAGCTGTCAGGTATTGGAGAAGGCTTTACTCGATGCTTAGATATAGTCATTATGGTACCTGTTTGTGGTGGAAAATGGTTGGAGTGAAAATCAAGAAAATGAACTACTTAGTACTGAAGTATTATGAGATATAGTAGGTATGGAGGGAACAAGGATATCATATACCATCATTCAGAAATTGTAACGATCAGAACCATAAATGGCGTGAAATCAAACTCCCAAATAAGAGCAAGCAGCATAAACCAAATTGTCAAGAGAGCAGTAAATATGCATTATTCGCTAACTAAAACGTAAAGTTGATAGACATTGTTTCACATCATATAGGGGATCATCAGAATTAATTTGGGAAAAAACATATTATGCACGGGAACCATTTAATACTTAGTTCTGTTAACTTGTGCTTATTTCTGATTGACCTGCAGGTAAACTATATAGAAGAACCATCAACTATTTATTTACCAATTGAGCGAAACCGTTCTTAAACGGATAAGCAAAACACATAGCTTTCAAATATATAATTTAAAGAGTAAAGTCCATCACCGGTCCCTAAACTTGTACCGTTGTGTCATCCTGGTCTCTAAACTCGCAAATCGACCGTTCAGTTCCTCAAACTTGTTCGATTGTGTTATTCCGGTCCCTAAACTTGCAAATCACTCGTTTAGGTCCTCCAACTTGTTCAGTTGTGTCACCCCGGTCCCTAAATAGGACGGTCTAAAAATTTTATATCAAAAAATAATTCATAACTTTTTCATGTGAATTCTAATGAAGACAAACTTTATATCAAAATTGAAAACTTTATATCATAACTTTGTAGTTGAAAAGTTTTTGAATTAAAACTGTTTAGGGTCCCAAAATATTGTTGCATGTTTATAGATTTTGAAATTTTAATTTTAATATTATATTTTTGGACAAAAAATGACTTAAAATAACAAAAAATTCAACTACAAAGTTGTAGATCGTGTCGAGGGCTACAAGTTTGATATAAAGTTTGTCTTCATTAGAGTTCACATGAAAAAGTTATGAATTATTTTTAAATATAAAGTCTTTAGACCGTCCTATTTGATCTAGATATTCAAATCCAAGTTAAGGACCGGGGTGACACAACTGAATAAGTTGGTGGACCTAAACGACTGATCTGCAAGTTTAGGGACCGGGATGACACAATCGAACAAGTTTGAGGACCTGAACGATCGATTTGCGAGTTTAGGGACCGGGATAACATAGCGGTACAAGTTTAGGGACCGGTGATGGACTTTACTCTAATTTAAATTCTAATTTAAATTCTAATGACCGGATGATTGACGAATCCACATTTTAGCCATTGCAAACAAACGGATAAGCAAAACACATATCTTTCAAATATTCCTTCTTTTTGCCGTGTCCCCTGCTTGTCATCGTCGTCAGAATCAGATCCTGCAGCTTTGTTTGCCGCATCAGTGCCAGCCTCATCTTTCTTCTCGTAATCCTATCAGAAAATACCAATCCACTTGTCAAATATCTCCACACAGGGCAGCCAAACTTGCTGCGTAGGAGATAAATCTTATACCAATCTGTTTGTCTACTGTATACCTTGGCGGCAGCAGAGGAATCCTTGAAGGTGAACTTGTCGAAGATGTTCTTGAAGTTGGCGAGGAGGCCGTACATTCTTTTATTTTAGATGGAAGAAAAGTTTCTTCTATCTTAAATAAAAGATTTTTGCTGATTTATTTATTTATATATCCAATTTATATCCAATTTATAGAATTGATACACCATTTAATTCATGTACTTCATCTGTATTTTAATGTATGATACCGTTGACTTTTTAACCAACGTTTGACCACTCGTCTTATTCAAAATTTATATGCAAATATAAAAATAGAACATTTGATGATAAATTAAGTCACAATAAAATAAATTATATTTACATAAATTTTTTGAATAAGACAAAAGGTCAAACGTTTGTTAAAAAGTCAACGGCGTCATACATTAAAGTACGGAGGAAGTGTCATTTAGCATTCAGGTCCGCTTGCTCGTGATGTACCCCACCTCCACCTGCGGCGAGCACGGTTCCTAGGTCAGAACAAACAAGAGGGGGGAGGGGGGGGGGGGGTTCACTATTTCCCCTTGATCTCCCTTTGCCGACTACTGTGTTATCTGCTAAAGTAACCATGGAAAGTTCATGCATTCCGTGGTTTATCAGGATGAGATTGTTCCGAAGGAGGCCGGCGATGCTCATGAGGATGCTTAATTGCTAATAGATATTTCATTTTATGTGCACACTTAATCTTCATCCGAGCGACAACCTAAAATTATGTCCTATTTTTTTAAAAAAAAACATCTCTAAGGAGAATTTTAAGAAAATTTCTCTAAAAAAACTTTTGACTTTAATGTGATTTTTACACAACTTTCTATAAGAAAATTTCTTACAATATTACTACCTTTGCCCCAAAATAAATTTATGTTTAGATCTTAGAATGCAAATTAAGATAGAGCGAATACTCATTATAATAATATAAATCTGGACAGAGGATCTGTCCAACATCCGATTCTAGGTTGTTATATTCTACTTTCTCCGTTTCATATTATAAATCGTTTGACTTTTTTCCTAGTCAAAATTTATTAAGTTTGATCAAGTTTATAAAAAAGTTTAGCAACATCTAAAATATCAAATTAATTTTATTAAATCTAACACTAACTATATATTTTGGTAATATGTTTTTTTTATGTTGAAAATAGTACTATATTTCTCTATAAAGTTTGACTTGAGAAAAAGTAAAATGACTTATAATATGATAAAGAGGAAGTAGTGTTGGTGATGAGTAATCAAGGGTATTGAAGATTTTGTGGACCAGGGTAGGTAGAAGGAAGATAACTGAACTTATTTTGGGACAGATGCAATATTTAGAGAGATATAGAACGGAGAGAAAAAGACCTTGCTGTCCCTCAGTGAGGGATGGATATGGTAAGAAGTTGGCTGGGGTAAAGATAAGAAGAAATTGTAACGTGATATGATTAAGGTGGCACTTAATATTCTTTAATGCTTATATTTATAGATAAACTATAAAAGATGCCGGTGTGTTGCAATGGGTAGAGCCAATTTAATTTGTACATATGTGCCCGTGGATAAATAAACACATCCCATTGTATCGTTTATTCATGTGCTTATCCGAATAACTTATTACCAAATAAAAGAATATTTATGTGTAAATATTTTATATACATGTTTTTAGTGACTCAAAAGCAAATGTTGTAAAATAAAATTCGATAACAAACTAAAAGGTCCAATTCAAAATAAAGTTCTAAAATTTAAAATTTGTCTTATAAGAATAAGCATAAGCCAAACAATGAGGCCTTCAAACACGAGCTCGATTTATCGTCTAGCTTTATCTCAAGTTGGGCAGGAATTGATGACAGACGAAATCAGCAATGTCGATTATCCTTTATTTTCAGTTGGCATGTTCTTTTCAAAAGTAAAACTGATTGTTATGGATTATTATAATGGTATCCATAGTAGTATGTATGAGCATGTGTGAAGATTGATTTGAAATCATGCTAACATGACATAGGAATCGTGACGTATAATACGAATAGAATTGGATGATCTAGGCAACGACATACATGATATTCACACGGACTCTGTGAGTTTCATTTACTTGGTATCCACATCACTCGTGAATCATGACTCTGCAATGAATGCTACGCGTGACAGGAATCAGATACAGACGACGTATCATAGTTTCAACAATAACACCTTCAATTTTAAAATCGTGAGCGAGGACGACGCAGTCCCGATCGGACATGTGGCAAGGGCAAATTGCGCCTGCGAGGGCGTCGCGGGCCCAATCACGGCGCCACACAAAGGCATGTATGGAAACAGACTCGGGCGCGGGCCCGATCGTTGCGTGTGGCAAGGGGTACGTGAAAAGGTGTAGGTCCAATTAATTCGCGCGCCTCTCGGATAAGAGGGATACTCTGGCGTAAGAAAAAAAAGAGAAAAGGATGTGGCATAAACATAAAATTAAAACCGATTCAAACATGGATAACGTATCAAAATTCTAACGGAAGCATCTTTATTTTTTTATAATAGTAGAGATATTAAATGCTTAGAAAAATTATATTCATGAACACAGCTGATAGCATCATCACTTCACTTGTGGTGAACACTCCCGGAGGATGAAGAGGGACACAGATCATGCTTTAGCGGTGAGTGACAGGTGGAACCGGTCTCACATATCAGCGACAGTTGCTGCAATACTGCAGACAATCTGCACTGGATGAAGAGAGCTTTCGGTTCAATAGTAGTAGGCATACCCATACCCAACCCAACAGGATTGAGATCCTCTACGGTTAAATACACGGTGCTTTTGTCACTGACATATGAGCCCAATAATCATCGGACCCACGTATTAGTGATAGAGTCACACGACTTTGACTGCATAGGAGGCTGATCCTACCCAACAAGCTGTGCATTGCAAAGAAGCCATATGGAAACACGAGCCCCCAGGCAGAAGCAAAACCCAAGAAGGCCAGCAAGCTACAGGCAGGCAGCAGCAACTTCACAACACTAGTGTCACTCACTCGTCACAGGAGTACTAGTAGCACAGGAGTGTAACATCTCGTCATGGCGCCCCATCACCGTCACCACCACTGCCTCTGCGGCCTCTGCCACTCCCCCACCAGCTGAGAGCTGAGAGACGATCTCGCATTGAAATCTCGCGGCGGAGTAGCCAACAAAAGTCTTCTTCTTGGGCTTCTTCTTTCTTCCTCCTCGCAGCGAGCTCCATTGGCATGGCATTGATGGAGACGTCGTGCATGGTTGCCGATGCAGCGCACGAGATGGGAGAAGTCGTCGTCGCAGCAGCAGCAGCAGCAGAACCAAAGCAATGTGCAGACAGGTGCAGCAGAGAAGGGGGGAGTGACTAGTGAGAGCAAGAGTCTTCAGAGTTGCCACTTTGCCAGCCAGGGCCGTTGAAAATGAATTTTATTTCAGAGTTCTGATTCAGCAATGGAAAAGTGTTAGCAGCAGTAGATTGTCAAATGTGTTTGTTTGGTGGTGTTGGTATTCAATCTCTGTACTTGCTGATGCTTAGTATATTATGGTTTTATTAATTGATCTGAACATTGCATAATTTTATCTTTTTGAGAACTAGCATTGCATGCTTGATGCTTCACCAATGCATTGGAACCTACAAAAGCAAAATATATTTATCAGGCCCTTCTTGGACGAATAATGAATAGTAAGCGCTCTTGGAAAGTATACTAGTATTTCAATGGTTTTATTTGATTTGATATTTGGGCTTTTCCTGCTCAAATTGATAAGAATAGAGTATATATAATATGATGTAGTAATAACTTTATAAATTATGAAGTAGTACTGTGTAGTATCATGACATCCATTCCTATGGCATCCATCTTGTTGCAGAGAATCCAATCCTCAGCAGTCGCAGCTGCATGGAGTATTGCACATTGCGTTTGCAAGGATGGATAGATGGATGGATGGATGGATGGATATGGACAGAGGAGGGACAAGAAGAGGACAAGTATTACTCCTCCTCGTCGACATCACAAACTGCAACGCCGCAGAAACCAACGACTTGTGTACCCCCGCTCACTAAACAACAAACACTCGTGTCCTGCCTCCCACTTCTCCCCCCCATAACCTAACAGCACACGATTATCTCATGGTTTTTACCCTCCCTCTCTCTCTCAACATTATCTCTGATCAAACTGCTACAATGCAAAGCTGGAAGAGGTACAGTACCCCCAACCCGCTTATCTCCGTTCATCTCTGGTCGTCCCAAATCAGTGCTTAGGACCTTTAGGGCCCATTTGAATTGCAGGGTAGAAAAAACAGAGGAATAGGAAAAACATAGGATTCTGATAGAAATTGAAGTGTAAAATAGAGGATTGCAAAACACAGGAATGGTCGTTTGATTGGAGCGCAGGAAAAACGTAGGAATCGGATGAGAGAGAGACTCAAAGGAAATTTTCCAAGAGGTTAGAGCTCTTGCTAAATTTCCTCTAAAATCTACATGTAATGTGTCATTCCATAGGAATTTCATAGGATTTGGAAAGCTTCAATCCTTTGAATCAAAGGGGCAAATAGGAAATCCTATAAAATTCCTACATAAATCCTTTGATTCAAAGGGGCCCTTAAGATTATAGTAATAAGCAGCCGAGGTGGCTGGTCTAGATTAGTGAGAATGTGAAAAGTTGAGCTTCTACTGCTAGTTTATTTTCTAGATTGTATGATTAAAGTTTCTTACAATCCATATAACAATATGAACTATTTACGAGGCTAAAGATTTTGAAAAAACCAATAATTGTTAGAAGCTCCCTCGGATATGTTTTTGTGTTTACGGCTTACTTATTTGTTTAAGGTGTAATTAATTTTAAATTTTAGACTTTCCAATGAAGTGCCCTAGCTGTTCTGAAATTTATGCGGGTGCATCATCTAGGTCTCTCAACTTTTTTTTTTATTCCCTGAACTTATCTTAGGCGTTAGATATGTCCAAACATGCTCTAACTCGTTTAGTGCACGCTGACGTTTTTGAGGGTTAATTAGCAACGGTAGTAATAGCTGACTACTAACAGATTATGACAAAATGAAGATGTCAAACCAGACAGATGCATTTGCTCCAACTTCTAACCACAAGAATTAACAAAGACTGGGCAGGTGAATCTTGTTTTGTTTCTTTAAAAATATGATTCTACTCCTATCAGTAGTATACTAGTATGTGTGATGTGTCTGTTCTGGCTTGGAGAAACAGCTCCCTGCCATAGATTTCATGTTTACCTCTTTTTATACTATGTTGCAAAGAGACAAAAACACTGGCATTCTCCAAGTACATTAGCTAAGCACTGATCATGTTCAAGTTGTGGGATATCCTTTGACAGAACACCATGCTTTCTGCTAATAAAAATCACTATAGCACAAAGCTCAACAAGTTCAGGTACAGCATTGGACAATACTTGCACAGCAAATGCATTTGGAGGACACCTTTGCAAAGTGACAATTACATACACACCCACATTTACTACCTTTTCTAGTAGTATAACAGACTGGTAGAAACTGTCCCCAAGATATCATACACCACCCTTCAACATCAATATATATGCTCATCAGAAGAAATTGCCCCATGCTTGCAACAATGCAACCCTGCTGGTACCACATCACTGAGCTCACCTGCTGGCTGGCTGAAAGGGTCTCTTTCTGATTCTCTGAAGGCATACACAACATACATCATTGACAGCTGGACATCTGAAACAATATGTGTCCTTCACTTGCAGAGCAGAGGGTGTGGCTTTACAGGCTTTAAGCAACATTTGGGAGCAGTGACAGCAGGCAAGAAAATATAAAAAGGGAGATGCTGCTTTTTAGGATTGGTGGTACTATCAAGCAAGTACAGAGAGTTCAGGCATGAGGAAAATAGTGTTAACGTATCCATCCAAAACCAAAGAGAGACTCTGAGTCCGGGAGTCCCTGATGCAGCATGCATGCTCCTTTACCTGTCTTTGCACAATCACATGCCATTGCTATGTAGTATGACACAGATGCTGCATCAGAAGCAGGCAAGGATTCTGGCACTACATGAACAGCACAATGCTGTATGAGTAATTGGGATAAAGTATGGTACAGTTTAGCAGTTAGTAGTTTAGTACTATAGGACATAAGTAGAAGAACATTATGGATAAACATGAGCTTCAAATAGCATCAAAGGAACTTGACAGAGGAGATAAGTATAAGAACATTAGGGATAAACAATGAGTACAGTAAAACCAGAGATCACCAAATGTTTGCCTAATATTTCAATAAACCAGCTCTTCGCGATTTACATGGCATGGTTTGATATCCATGTTTTTATTTTCAGTTAACTATCTGCATTTCCAAAAATTCTGATTATGTAAGTGCTAATAAGAGTGATGGACAGATTGATTTTGTGCATTGGACTAAAAGAGAAGGCAACCTTAACAGCTCTGCTGTCCATCAATGGTTATACGGCAAGCAGAGCAAGGACTCTGCTTCAAGTACTGACTCAACAACAAAGGACTCTGCTTCAAGTTCAGATGTTTGCATGTAGTGGTGTCGTAATAAAACAAAACATAAATCAGTAGCAGCGGGGACCCCAAACGCAAATGACTACTATAAATCAAGAAAGTAACAATCTTTTAGGTTTGGGACATCTGAAGTGGCACTTTGTTTGCAGGCAACATAAGAATAAAGAAAACACAATTCAGCAAGAATTGTTCTTGTGTATGGCATCATCCCTCCCTCTATTATCCAACCATCAAATCAACAAAAATGAAACAGGGAAGTTTAGACGCCCTTTCAATTAGAAGATATACTCAGCAATAAATAGAATAGATCTATAAAACCTGAAACACTTTCTCGAATGGCTTCCAATGACATCATCTCTTCACTTGGTAACTCCAAACCAGGCAAATAATGCAAGAATTCCCGTGGAAGTGAAACAAAATAAAACTAGGAAGCAATGTCCAGCCTAGGCTCAAAAGAGAAACCAGTAAACAGCTGCAGAGGAAACCTCTTCGTCACAGGGCTCTTCAGTGACCATTTCCACAGCTTCTGGTTTAATTCAAATGTGAGGAGGGCCGGTGACCCATAGCTCTGAATATAGATAAGGTCATCCGCCCCACAGCTTGCAAAAACATCATCGAACTCGCCAAATCCTTGGAAAAACTTGTGAGGCATTCGAGCAACCTCATGCCACTCCTTGTTCCGGAGCTCCCAGATGCCAATTCCCTTGATGATACCAGGCCTATCTTGCTTGCCAATGCCCCCAACCAAGACAAGCCTCTCATTGAGGTTCATCAAACGGCCACATGTAAGAGGGCACGGCACTGGTATAGCCATGCTCATCAAAGAAGTGTGAGTAGGCCTGGTAGATAGGTCATACATGAGAAGACAATGGCGATGCTCGTTGTTATTCACCAAAACTCCTGTTGAGTACACCAGATAGTAGAGGACCCCATCACAGATCACGCACTCATCACCTCCTCGCCATCCAATCAATAGTTCAGTGAAGGGAGACACCCATGTATTTATCTCTGACTCGTACAAATGGATGGTGAACTCCCATTGATAATACTCTGATGGCACCTGGTTGCACCTTGCAACAGCCACCATGTACTGATGAGAGGTCCTGGTCACAGAAATGGCGAGAGCACTGTAATCAGCCGACTTGCCACCAGGAGCATCAACAAGCCTCTTCCAGTCCTTAGTTATTGGGTTGCACACGATGATGCGGCTCCTATCCTCACTGTCCATCAGACACACCAACCCGGACGATGAGGAAATCGACCAGGTGGTCTTCTCAATGCAAGGGAAGTCGAATCCATACCACTTACGCAGGCTCGGGTCATAGGTGAACCCCGAGACCGCTTCCTCGCTGCAGGTAAACATGAAGTACCAAGGCTTCTGAGGCACCATTTTGCTCCATGTCTGCCTCCGGGCATGCACAATCTCATGCCATCTCTTGCAAACAGATCCAGATCTTATGACACTTGCAACAGGCAAGAAGGAGAGGACCTTTTCTAAAAGATCATCAGGGAGAACGGCGTCCATCGACACGGCCAAGTCTCCACTCTGATCATCATCCATGTCTCCAGAAACATGCCCATAATCTATGACCTGAGCACCAATGAAGGAAGATGGATACAACTCCCACTCCTCTGACCCCATTGCCAGCATCCAGCGAACAGCACAGTAACTAACGCAAGATCCTGCATGTGCAAGTGATGAAATTAAATGTTCATGCATCAGCCACATGGTAACATCTAATCTAGATACCAGAGTTACTCAATATTCAACACAACATCAATTTTTCAGAGCGTTGAGTATATATACATCTTATACATTGCCTCCATGAGCTCAAGGAAGCAGAATGTAAATGCCAGATAGGTGAAAGGGATAGCCTATGGTTTTTATAGCAGTAAATTAATTTCAACTGCATCCACTCCACTAAGCAGTAAACAAATCCGCAAGAAACTGGAAAAACTGGAATGCCCGTTGATTCGGATTAGGTTGCTTACAGAAAGAAGAACCCCCAAAAGAGAACTCTCAATCCAAGCAAAGGTTTATTGGCAAGAAAACGTATCAATCCATGTCAGGATGGATATTCGCCGGAGAGCAAGAACCCAATCGCCGCCGCCGCTGTCGTCAGTGATGAAAAAAAAAAAAGAGAAAGGGAATGCGGACGGACAGCGAAAAAAAGTAGTATTCTTTAGAAGAAAAAGGATTATTGTGATGATCGTCTGATTTCTTGGCGGGTTCACTAATCGCAAAAAATAAAATAAATAAAAAATAAATGAATTTCACAAGAAAACTTCGAGAGTGACAACACCAAACCTGAACACAAGTTTCTTGAAAAGGGCAGCGAAACCGAACAAAATGCGTCATTTCTCCATGAAACAAACTCCTACTGGCTCAAAGAGAAAGAAATCCAAACCAAACGACAAGAAACAAATTGGAGGGAAGAAAGAACCAATCCAGGTCCGGTCCGGACGGGATCTCCCATCTGCGCCCCGGCCGCCCCACGAACCGGAGGCGGAGGAGGAGGACGAGAGAGAGAGATAGCTACAGTGTAGAAGAAGAATGGATACCTTCAATCCGATTCCGGCCAAGATTGGGGGGGCTCGCTCCGCTGGACGGAGCACCGCCCGCTCCCCCGCCGTCCGGGCGAGGAGGCGGCGGCGGTGGCCTCCGAGGCTGCTCGCTGGCCGCGCGCTGGAGGAGGAGGAGGAGGCTTGGCAGCCGCAGCCGCGCCTCCGGGCTCCGGCTCTGCAGATCAGAGAGAGAGAGAGAGAGAGAGAGAGGGGAGAGAGAGATGGAGGGAGCTGAGAGGGAAAGAGGGGGAGGAGGTGAGGGAAGAAGAAGAGAAGGAAGGGGCATTTTGGTCCCTAGACAATTTTCTTTTCAGCTTCTTATGCTCAAAAAATAAAATAATTTTTTTCTGTTTGAAAATAGAGCATTCAACATATTACTGTATTGGAAAATATATTTAAAAATGAAGTAGACGTTTTTTTTGGAAAAAAAATGTTTTCTAGGAAGTGGATAAAATAATGCACGACAATAATTCAGTGAAGTAGCTTGAAAGAATAAGGACTAAGTCGAGACTTCTAACGAGTAGAAAGGTTTTTTACACTAAGTTAAAAGTCCATGCATTACCACGGATGTACAAGAGATGAAAGAAAAATAAAAAGTATAAGTTTATAGCATACTTAGTCGATTAGGCATATAATGAAAGTCGCAACGTTCACATATATTGTAAGAACCTTATACCTGTAGCCTTACATGTCAGTATATGTTGTTTAACCACTACTACTATCATTTAAAGTAATATAGAAATAGGTCATCAAAATTTTTTCTACATTAGTGATAAATATAAATAGACTACAACATGTTAGATTTTAGCCTTTAGTGACATTTTTATTAAATATAGAAAAAAATGCATGTTACTTTTGATATACGCTCCCCATGCATGTATGATGTATGCATTATGTAATACGCGATATCTTCTTTGGGTTGCTAAGAGTCTATGCCCTCTAAAATTATTCCTGTGGTGAGATGAAAAATCTGAAAACTCGACGCTATTGCTCAAAATGATGAAGATAACCAGTTATTGCCAAAAACTAGGGAGGTCATGTAGCAGTTGTTCATGTGTTTGAACCAACAGGTTTAGATCCGAGGAATATATACTGTGCACTGAAATTTTTCGTGCATACTCTGTGAATATAAATTAGTAAATATCACGAAAAATTCTAAAAAAAATAAATATATACTTCTAATAGTATAACACATATCTACAAAGTCTCATTCATATTCAAGTTGATTATATGATATTATTCTAACAATAAACTTATTTTGGGACAAATGAAAGGAGATAAAAATAAACTTATTACGAGATGGAGGGAGTAGAGAACTTAAAAAATAGATTAATATATTTTTTTAAAGCAACTTTCCTATATATTTTTAAGAAACCTCCACCATTTAACAGTTCGGGAAACACGTCCGTGGAAAGTGAGAGGTTCGAAGATGGGAAATTTCTGCACGCTTATGGTTTAGGGTTAGTTATTCCTTTTTACCATTTACAGGAATAACTAAGACATGTAAAATTTCAAGAGTCTAACTAAGGTGTGTTCTTTTCTCCCCCTTTTCAACTTCTATGCTCTCTTTTTCACACGCGCGCTTTCCAAACTACTAAATGGTGTCTTTTAAAAAATATATATAGCCAAGTCATATTAATTCATTTTTGACTTTTTAACTAGTACATATATGCTAATCCACTGTTTCATTTTACATGTCTAGGAGAAGGGTTCCTAACCCCTTAAAAGAACACAGAGTCAAGGGAGAAGTGCCGAATGCGACAACATCATGGCCCTAGGATAGATGAAAAAAAAACCACATTGTTACCCTAGGGAAGATGTCTCGTCTATATGCCAAGGAGAAAAATATACCGATGGACTTGTACCACAAAACTTTGGGGATTAAGCTATAATCATGAGTTGTGTCTCCAATCAAATTTTCTCTCAGGAACTCTCATCAACACTTAAAACAAATAAATATCATAAAACGTGACGTTTTATGATCAATATTTCCTAAAACCCCAAATGTATTATGTCTTGTGGCACATACCTATAAGTTTTATTGTGAAAATGCTTCATAAAATCTCACCTTTATTAAAATTCCAATTGGTTTCAACATGTTTGAGACAATATTTTTTTAAAGTAGTAAAGACTTAAACCAACGACCTTAATGAAGAATTCAACAACTACAAGTTTCATATACACTGTAATTTTAAAATATTAAGTAAATATTTACTGAACGTTTGCAAAACTTTAGAACCACAATAAAATAGGGTTATTTGTCACCATCCTAATATCTAAGGTTTTATGCAACTTCAATTGTATTTAAAATACGAGGCATTATCGATACATTCGTAGTTGGGTAGTAGATTGTTTTTATATATTTAAATCTAACTAAGATTTTCAGGAATATAAAAATATTTTATTCAAAACTTCTCTAAGTTATCTTTACCAATTAATTTATTTTAATATGCTATATCTCTATAAAATTCCTACTACACATACTCTCGGATATAGTATAATAAATTAGATTCATCGGAACTAAAGAAATAAAAAAGACGCGAATATTAGGGATGACCTAATATCAAATAATTAGAAGTTGTGAGGTTTCAAACCCAGGCCGACTAGCTCATCACCTTGTGGAACTAGCCAGAAAATCGATTGGCGTTTCTCAGAATTAAAGAAATAGGACTGTTCATATAATTATAGGATGGTACTTAAAAAAACCCAAAAGACGTCCCTGAAATTTTCTTTAAGAAAAAACTTCTGCCGGGCCTGATATGTCGAGTATCCTAACGATCGATTTGGAACAGGGAGGGGGTGCTATGCATGGATTTGATGTTCCAAAGGCCTACAACTACAAAGATATGATCGAGCAGACCAACCAAACAAACAATGGCGCAATCGTGACTAGTGGTGTTGGATGAGGCCTATTTTATGATTGGTGGAGCAAGCATGCACGCATGGGGCCTCACCTACCTAACCAGCAACCATCTCTATGTCTATGTCTCTGTGTGTGTGTGTGTCTGGCTGTGCATCACTCACCCACAGGTCGCAACAAATTAAAATTGTTTGTATATATCTCATGACCCATCCCTATCCGATGCACGCTTTGCTCTGCCTTTGCTGCTTCGGCTGCCTTTGTTGGAAGGTCATGATGGAAGGTGTGCAGTAGTATAGCTGCTACTACCTCTCCTCTTCTCTCCTCCATCGTCGTTGGCATTTATCCGTGACGTTTGATCATTTTTTTTATTATTAGAAAGAATTATGTACATATAATTTATTTTGTTGTGATTTTTCATTAGTAAATATTTGAATATAACATGTTTTCATAGTTACGATTGTCAGGGTTATGGATACCACATATCTAATAGTAGTTAACTAAATCTCGGCAGGATCCACTACATACCATGTCTTATACGGAAACTGACCTCGAGGGAGTTCCGGATAAGGAAAGACAACCAGAGTTCTACATGGAAACGACAAGGACTACTTGGATTGTATCCATATTGGTTTCTCTAGTTCTACTTGGACAAGTGGACACCTATGGGTATAAATACAGGCCCCCTAGGAGGAGAAGGGGGACAAGACAATCAACACCCAACGGGATCAACACCCGACACGATCAACACCCAACACAATCAACAAAGAAGCCTACATACGCCAAGACACGCCGCCGGATATCGACTTCAGGGATAAGCACGGCTAGTACCCTACGGTGTCTCCGGATACTGTCAGGAGAGATGAAAGCGCTATCTCTGACCTCGCTGGGCACGGATTCGAGGAGGAAGGCTACCCTGTTGTCGACTACGAGTCAGATCGTCAGACCGCCATGTCGACAACAGTTAGATAGGCTACCCCAAATATTGTACTGGTGTGATTATCATGAATAAGAGCAATACCGACTTCGGCCAACAGGATGTAGGGTTATTACCTGACCGTTCAGGGGCCCGAACCTGTATAAAAATCCCTGTCTCCATCCCTTTTACCTCAGTCTTGCGTATATCCTAGCACCGACGATCCCCATACCATGCAAATACCAGAATTGCGACATCAAACGTCGACAGCGGCGCGCCAGGTAAGGGGATTTTGGTGCTTCAGGATTTCGACGAGATGGGTTCAAAAGATGGATTCTCGAACAACAAGCTACTCGACGACTTCAGCTGCGGGAAGATCCAACCCGACCGGAGTATGTCTCCCGACGAGATCGGAACCACCGTCGCTAAAAATTCAATCTGTCGAGATCGTCCAAGTCTCAAGACCTTCGTTGCCGTGTAAATTCTACTCTCAAGACAGACAACCATGGTGCAGCACGCCGACCATCCCGACGATCTATGGCAGAGGAACTAGATGTCAGGGTCAACCGATTCCGGTTGTCATCAGGACACATACCAAGCTGTATTTTTTGGTCTAATTCCTACTCGGACCAGAAACAGAGCTCTGATCGGCAATTGTTGACGGCAAAACTGCACGTGTCAGAGCTGGATCAAAGGGAGTTTTTTCACGTGTACAGGAGTATCTTATACAGGACGACTGTATGGATTGGTTCAAAATCTACTACATGTACATACCGGCAACAAAAGTTAATTAGTAGATTAATTTTTTAAATTAGTCTACTAATTCCGTAGATATATCCGGCATATACGCAATATTTTATATACAATTTATTGTACCTATTTTTCAGACTTATACAGTATTGTCAGATCAATAATTTGTTATGTTTACCTAGAGCATGTTTTTTATACAATATCTGTTGCGCGGGTGTCCCCGATGTTAAATCGACTACGATCTAACACTGGGGGCTCGCTCTGTCTTCTTCTATATAAATCATGCTTGTTTACGGTCTACATAATATCTGATATTTACATCTGCTCGTTATGTCCAGTACATACTCGATATTATCTACTATATGTCTTTGTCTTCTAGAAAATATTTTTCAGGAACAATTGAGCACTCGAGAAGGTTGTGGTCGAGTACACTCTATTATCGAGAACATTCTCGACAAATGCGGAGTTATCGCACCCGACCTACCAACGAAGACCGACGACCTATCTCATAGCACCGGCCATGGCTGGACTACTCGAGAAAAGGTTGTTAACGGATAATTCCTCGCGAACACCGTCGGCTTGATCACCCGACATGATTGCGAACGGACATCCGGATATGCTACAAGTTGGGTGTGTGAGTCATGCTGGCCATATGAGATGCACATAAACCAACTCTAGCGCCTCCATTGGTGTTCGAGAGATAATTCTACACGTTCGCTGGTTCTCCAACCAGCACGTAGCAATCTCTCGCACGACAACCTCAGATGGTCGAGGT